GAAGAGGAAGAAGAGGAAGAGGAAGAAGAGGAAGAGGAGGAGGAAGAGGAGGAGGAAGAGAGAGAAAACAGATCAAGACTCAAGAATACAAAATCACGTTCATGATGTTGTGTGAAGACTGACGGTGATGACCAAGCCACCGTGAGGGAACGTGGGATTTCTGTTGCGTTATGTTCAGGAAACGTGACTGAACTGATAGATATAGATATAGATAGATAGATAGATAGATAGATAAATGTTAAGGGGTTATTGAAGAGAGAGAGAGAGAGAGAGAGAGAGAGAGAGAGAGAGAGAGAGAGAGAGAGAGAGTCAACTGTGTGTATTCACGATCTAAATCACCACCCTCATCACCACCCACACATACAGCTAGTCACTATTCACGGTCAAATAACGTAAATCAAGACGACCAGGATAACAACTTCTCCCACATGTTAGATAAACTTACAACATCCATAGATCATTACTGTGGAATATAACCAAACAATGACATACTGTGGAAGACTTTTAAATACAACACAAATATATGGGAGAACCTGAATTTAAGGCACCCCAGCTTATTTCACCTGATGATTTGGCAGCCCAAGCTTATTTCATCTGATGATTTGGCAGCCCCAGCTTATTTCACATGAGAGAGAGCTGTGGTGCCTAATCATCTTGTAATATAAGCTGGGGTTGCCTAATCATCATTTCATATAAGCTGGGGGTGCTTAATCATCAGGTGAAATAAGCTGGGGGTGCTTAATCATCATTTAATATAAGCTGGGGCTGCCCAATCATCATGTAATCCACAACAATGTATAGGAACAGTTAAGAATTGTGTACAGGTAGAATGATATGATAAGATTACCTACTATCACCCTTGTTGTTGTGTATAAGATTAAGTGTCCCACAACATCACGAAGAACCTGAAATATCGTCAATAAGAACCTGAAATATCGTCACTAAGAACCTGAAATATCGTCAATAAGAACCTGAAATATCGTCAATAAGAATCTGAAATATCGTCACTAAGAACCTGAAATATCGTCACTAAGAACCTGAAATATCGTCACTAAGAACCTGAAATATCGTCAATAAGAACCGGAAATATCGTCACTAAGAACCGGAAATATCGACAATACTGAACAGGTGAGTGGATTCATACACCTGTGATTAGAGTTAATACCAAAGAGAAAAAAAAATTCACCTGAAAATTAGTCCCTAACAGTTAATTTCACCCCCCCCCCCGTCGAGGACCTTTCACTTTATCATCATCATTATTATCATCATTATCATCATTATCATCATCACTACCAGCACACACATCACCACCACCACCACCACACGCCACTATCATCATCATCATTATCACAATATCACCATCCTCATCATCATTATTGCCACCATCACTACCATCATCATTGTTATTATCATTAGCATCACCATCATTATCATCACCACAGCATCACCACCATCACCACCACACCACCACCCCTTACGTACTGTACTCCACCTGGTTATTTGGTCATATCTTCGCGGTTTATTCCGATCTCGTGGGATACTCTCAGCCCTCCAGCAGAATATAAAAGTCAGCCAGTTTTACCTCCCATTAAACACACGCAAACAAACTATCTCTCTCTCTCTCTCTCTACTTCAGTTATCTCTTATTTCTCTCCGTCTACTTCTATCTCATTTTTCTCTCTTTCCCTCAACTCTTCTCGTTCTATCTGTCTGTCTGTCAACATTGCTAAAGCCGCCTCCCGAAAGTTGGGAATGCTGTACAGATGCCGTAGCTACTTCACTCCTGTGCAGTTGCTTCAAGTATATAAGGGATTTATTCGTCCTAACTTGGAGTACTGCTCTCATATCTGGGGTGGCTCTTCTTCTGTTAGATAGGGTGGAATCAAAGGCATTTCGTCTTATTGACTCTTCTCCTTTAGTTGATAATCTTTCTTCCCTTTCTCTTCACCACAATGTTGCTTCACACTCTCTCTCTTTTACAGGTACTTTAACGGGCAATGTTCGGTGGATCTGGCATCCTGTGTACCGCCGGCAAGGCCGTGGGCTCGTAACACACGTCTTGTCCGCGGTGCCCACCGTTTCTCTGTGGATGTCGGTCACACTAGAATAACCCGTGAAAGTGCATTCTTCTTTCCTCACACAGCCAAACTGTGGAATGCTCTGCCTTCTTCTGTGTTTCCATACTCATATAATTTGTCTCACTTTAAAAAGATGGTTTTCTGGCAACTTCCTGGTGTACATTAATATCAACTTTTTCTTTTCTATTTCTAATTTATGTCTATTCAAATTTTTTCGCCCTCCAGGCCCCGTTGTGGGTCGTTGACCTGTACCCGGGTGGGCTAATTCCCCCCCCCCCAAAAAAAAATCTGTCCCTTTCTGCCTCTCCTTCAGTACCATTTCTCTATCTCTATTTACCTCAATCTCTCTCAATTTAATCTCTCCCTCCCTCCTTTTCTTTCCCTCATCAAGACCCACTGACTCCTGACTCCTGACGGCTGACGGCTGACAGCTGACAGGGTTCATAAATCTTAAACAATCAAGCTTCATTTATTTTGGTGCGACCGACTTAACTGGCTAACGAGTGTGTGTGTGTGTGTGTGTGTGTGTGTGTGTGTGTGTGTGTGTGTGTGTAGAGTCCTCATTGGGGGGATGCGGGCGTGTTTAGTAGTTTGAGTGTCTCTCTGTCTGTCTCTCTGTCTGTCTCTCTGTCTGTCTGTTTATATACACAGAGAAGTAGATACTGTGTAGGTATATATATAGAGACAAATATATAGAAAGAAGTTATGGTAATCATCGGACAGACAGACAGACAGACAGACAGACAGACAGACAGAGGCAGACAGACAGACAGACAGACAGACAGACAGACAGACAGACAGACAGACAGACAGACAGACAGACATATACATACATACATTAACAGACAAACAAATCGACAGCTAAACACTAAAACTAAGCATAGAGCAAAAACAAACAGGTACAGTACATAACACAATTAATTCGGGGTGTGTGTGTGTGTGTGTGTGTGTGTGTGTGTGTGTGTGTGTGTGTGTGTGTGTGTGTTACGCCTCTTCACCTTTAATGTAAGAGAGAGAGAGAGAGAGAGAGAGAGAGAGAGAGAGAGAGATTATTCACCTGTACCAGTTACAGTATTATCTGAACTTGTACCTTTATGTATTGTAGTATATCTGTATCTACTTGTACCTTGTATCTGCCTTGTACAGAAAAGCCTCTAATTAACGGACTATATGGAGATGAAAGTTCGTTATATCAAAGATCCATTAGATGTGAACCCTCATATAACGGATTATATGGTGAGAGAAGTCCGCTATAATGAGGTTTCACTGTATATGCATCTGTATTTGTATATATATCTGTACTTCCACTTGTATTTGCACTGTAATATTGTATTTACATTCGCACCTTCATCCTTAACTGTACCTGTACCCTCAGTGGTCTGTAGTTTGCGAATATTTAATTTAGACTCGAATATAAATTTGTTTTCCCGAGCGGTTATAACGTCACAGAAAACAAATTTCCTGCCTTCACTGAAATGCTCCAAATCAGTCAAGTTTATTAGGATCACCTGAAGAATAGCACCCCTAAATTATTATTAACTTTAGATTAAATAACCTAACCCCAGGTAGCGTTTGGGTGTTTCATCAAGTGCAATAAAATGGGGAGGGGGGGGTCAATCTTCATGTGATCGGCTTATTGTGCGTATTTATGTAACACATCAATGGCTACTAAAGATACAAGTTATTATTGTAACGAGATTTGAATAATTATGGCTACTTTAATTGTGTAGTTTTATTCTATCTATCTATCTATCTATCTATCTATCTATCTATCTATCTATCTCTTTATACTGTATCCGTATTTCTGACTATCTATAAATCTATCTGTGTATATCTATATCTATTTTTATCTGTGTACAAAATAATCATAAAAACTAACTATATTATTTCGCCAAGATGATAATATTTACGTGATAAAACCTCCTTCAGTAAGAGGATACAGTTGTACCAAGACATGAGAGAAAATGTAAATTACACAACTCAGAAAATGAATATTGTCCGAGTAACTGCATGGGTAACATAACTAATTTAAGAGTATTGCTTACGTGTGTGTGTGTGTAGGAGAGAGAGAGAGAGAGAGAGAGAGAGAGAGAGAGAGAGAGAGCAAATTTTCAGTTTATAGTTGCCTCTTAAAACTTTTATGAGCAGGAGTAAAGTAGAATTAAAAGACTGTTTAATTCTAAAGCTCAGAAAATACTTTACTTGTACATACTGCACTAGTTTTAAAGTGCACGTGTACAGGATGAAACTCCTGTACAGTGCACACACAAGAAAACAAACAACTTTCCCAATACAATTGCTTCGTGACTATCTTCTTTAAATTTACTTCTTTTTTTTTCAACAAAGGAAAGAAAAATGTCGCTGCCACACCTTTTTTAGTCTTATGGAATTTCGCAAGAATTGATTGAGTTCTTATAGGAGATAGTCTATTAATAAATCCTTATACACAAATAAATAAACACCGATAGCGTTATTTCTGAGAATAAGCTTCCAACGGCTTTCTTGGGCTGCCCTTTGGTTAAATGATCGTAATATTAAGCCGCACATAAGGATTTCTAGCAAGATAAACAGATAGATATTTATTCAATAAAATCATAATGCAAGTTCTCATTGCTTGGGCTTGTATGTACTGTAAATATTCAGCAGATCATATAGATATATGTATATAGTAAATTTGTCAACTAAGATCACATTGGTTTACGTATACATAGAAAGTACAGGTCTATAAACAGAGTGTTATCTCTCAAAAACTGTAATTGTTGCTGTAATCGTGTAACTACTAACCTTTTTACGCGCTTAAAGACCTTAGTTGTTGAAGTGCAGTGACAACTTTATAACAACAATGGTAAGCAGCTGTAAGATGGTTTAATAAATCACCTTACTCTAACAGACGGAGCGACACCTTAATTCATATCCATTAGCCTAATTCACTGTCTCTAAAATACTTTCCCGTTTCTTAAGTGTGACCATCAAAACATTAAATACAGATGATGTCTGCAGCAGTATATATGTGTCGACTACAAAGTATTCTGGTTCTAAATTATCACTTAATCGTACCTTAATTTTCATCTTTTGACTGGGGTAAAAAAATCACATCTAATTTCTGTAGTCTCTGGCCAATGCCGATGTTATTTTGCAAATTAATTGTTAGACAAGAGTAAGGCAAATAGATGGCTTCCTAAATCTGTATCGCCCGTTAAGGAGAAAAGTTAACGAATGAATAATTCAGAATAAAGGTCCAGGTGAGGTATCCAGCATAAAGTTTGGATTCAAGAAGGTTTCCTCCGTTAGCCCGACATTAAGAGAAAACGCGTCAAAGTAACTAGTGAGAGAAAACCTGTTTCTTTAGCGGGTGACTATAAATTATGTTCAGCACCTCCCATCAACCCAACCCAAGTGTCTTACGATTGTACAACTTTCAAAGATTTTGTCGAATTAAACACCTAATTGTACAGCATCTTATAATCGACATGTCTCTTAACATCACAACAGCACTAGCGTTTGTTATCTGAATTGGGGTTTAAAATCAACATGTGAACTATCTGTTCATTTCTTACTAGTTTCTGAATATTACGTAATAGGAGAAGCTGAAGTCCGTCGTAATCAAAGAAAAATACACAAAAGTCATAAAATAATAATTTTCTTGCAGAGAACGACAAAACTGTGTTCACTAAACTGAGGAAGAAAAAATTAAGTGGCGCCTCCATGGTAACACTTACCCAAACTTTTGCGAGACGGGATCTCTGAAAGGAGCTTCTTCTTCAGGTATTCTCTCCTCCTCGGCCACCGGAGAGTCATAGATGAGGGTCTCCACCATCGACCCCTTGCTCGACCCAAACGATACTCTGCAAAGAACCACAATCAAAATTAGATATTTTTGGCAGATATATTAACACAAATACAGTACATATTAGTATACAGAATAAATTTAGGTACAGCTGGGGAAGTAATGGCGGTCGAGTGCAGTGCCGACCACAGAGTCTCTCATTGACATTGAAACAATTTATTTAGCCAGAAAATTACAGAGCCAATTGGGAGACTGACCTCTCTTAGTGGGTCTACAGAAATAAAACATAGTCTACAGTGAAATGTATCCACGCAGGAACTTTATGCTACTCAGTGAATGATTCACACAATGGCGTCTTAATGTAAGTATGAACAGATATACACTTAAAACTTCCTTATTGACTTACTAATATCCAACACTTCCTACCACACGGACGTAAAATATGTCTTACATTTTGGTGAGCAGATAAACAAAACCTGACCTCTACACCCAACACCACCTATACCCACCTGAGGGACCCCGTGGTACACTATACACATACACAGCCTACAAACACTACACCCAGCACTCCCTAACATGTACAGTATATTACATAAAATTTAATTCATTTTTAAGCAACAAAAGAGAGAGAGAGAGAGAGAGAGAGAGAGAGAGAGAGAGAGAGAGAGAGAGGGGAGGGAGTTTTTTTATTCAGTATCTCATAATTACATAATGCAATATACGATGGGGCGGCTAGGGTAACTTTTTTCCTGCTATAAATCGTCATTAATATTTATCCCCATGACTCCTGGTGATCTACAGGGCGGAGGAAAACACATTATATATGATTTATGTTCTCTAATAACGTCGCCTCACTCATGGGACTTTTTCTTTTTTTGGCTCAAGGTGAAAAAAATATATTATTAATCTATTTTTTGTAATTATTTGTTTCGTTTTATTTTATATATTTATGTCATCGTCATGTTTACTATTCCCACCTGTTATTATCTTTTCCTTTATCTTCTTTTTTTTTCACTTGTGGGTATTATCTATATTACTTTTTATCGTATATTTACTTTTTATATTTATTAAGTTACTACTGTATTAACTGTTAGTCTAACACTATTCGTTTATTTATTATTCTCCCTTCCTATCTTTCCATCTCCCTCCTACTCTTTTTAGTCCCACCAATTCTTAACCCCTTCCACTTTTTACTTTTATTCTCTTCATCACTCTCACCCCTCTCTTCTCATCCTCACCTCTAATCTGTTTCCCTTCCATTACTCCCCCACACACCCTTCCCTCCATGGCCTTGGTACCAGAATAGACCTTGAGGCGTGAATGAAACCTCTACACTATCTAGGTAAAGTTTTCATATGTTAATGGCTCTCGAATGCGGCTTCTCCAAGGATCGTCAGGTCTGCCTTAAATGGAGATACGATAACATGGCTAATTGGTTCACTTGAGTCTCACTGTGGGACCTCTCCCTCGCTTTCACCCTCCTCCCCTCCCCTTACCCTAACGAAGATACAGACGTGACCTGAAATACGACAACAAAACCTCCGAACGCAATAAAACTGCATAAGTTTCCCCTCCATCTAACAACGTTTTCTTTTATATACAATAACACAATTTTCTTTCTCGGATAGAATTATTTACGCCTGTGGGGCTGAACTAATCTATTTCCTTTAATCTATTTATGACACAAATACGGATAATACGGTCAATATAATTACGTTTTAGGGTAACATAATGGTAACATATGTTGGCTATCCATTGTTTGTATACCAGCATTGTTTATATACAGTACTGTACACACTTTGTATACCTGCACTGTCTTCTACTGAATGTACTGTAGTACTTTAAAAACCCGGTACTGTATATAAAATCAACATGAACTTGTACGAAGATTTTACTGAACATCTATCTATCTATGTATCTATCTATCTATCTATCTATCTATCTATCTCCTGTGAGTTAAGATAATAGAACCCAGGAACACGACGCACGTATTGACTTGAGCTAATCGATAATCTATTCTAGCTTCTTGCTGTCTCTCTATATCTCCCCACTCTTGCTCTGTCTATCTCTCGTTTTCGCCTTTTTCCTATCACGCCGTTACCTCCGATATTCATTAATCTCTCTCTCTCTCTCTCTCTCTCTCTCTCTCTCTCTCTCATCCACTCGTCCTCTCTTTCTTTTTCCTCCCAATCGTCCTCCTCCTCTCTCTCTCCATCCCATCCACCCGTCCTTTATTTTTCTCCCCTCCCACTTATCCGCTCTCTCTCTTTCTCATTCCCAGCTGTCCTCTCTCTCTCTCTCTCTCTCTCTCTCTCTCTCTCTCTCTCTCTCTCCCAACATACGAAGCCTCACAGAAAATGTTTTGACAGTGAAGTGTCCTGGCCCCACTCTGAGCTTCCACCCAGCTCTTGAATATTCATCCCCGGTCCCCACGCCCCCCATGACAGAAGGAGAGGGGGAGAGGGAAAGAGAGAAAGGAGAGAAAAAGAGTGAGAGAGAGATAGAGTGAGAGAGAGTGTGAAAGAGAGATAGCAAGAAAGAGTGTGTGTGTGTGTGTGGTAACCTCTTATTCTCACCTGTCTCGTGTGAGTTTTTACATACTTGAATCTGGTGGCCAGGTGTTACCACGGATGTATTGTGTTTGGTGGAGTATCTATCTATCTATCTATCTATCTATCTATCTATCTATCTATCTATCCATTTTCTCTAAACATACACATTCTCTCTCTCTCTCTCTCCGACCATGTACAGCATTTTACCGTCAGCATCATCAACCCGAACGTTCAGCTAATGACAGACCTTAAAGGGAGACATTTCCTAGATCTCTCTCACTCTCTCACTCTCTCACTCTCTCTCACTCTCTCACTCTCTCGTACTTCACTAATGGTGGTTAATGAGAGAGAAATTCAGAGACACTTATTTCAACTGATGTCTCTCTCTCTCTCTCTCTCTCTCTCTCTCTCATTCTTCACTATTAATACCTAAAAAACGAGTCACTTAGCTATTCTCCCACTCTGACGGCTCCACCACCCGACACACTCTGGAACACTCAGGTAAAACACCAAATCTAGACACTTTTAATAACTTTTTTTTAGGGCGGACCAAAAGTTTTGTCAGAGAGAGAGAGAGAGAGAGAGAGAGAGTTTCTATTGATGGGACACACACACACATACACACACACACACACACACTCTAATAATAATAATAAATAATAATAATACAGGCGAAGCTTTATCACGTCTCACAGCAAGAGTGACACAAACGCCACACACTACTCCTATTAGTGATGTTGAAACCTGGTAATTCCTTCTTCCATGTAACCCTGACCTTGACCCTTCATGTGTGTGTGTGTGTGTGTGTGTGTGTGTGTGTGTGTGTGTGTTACCAGGAGGAACTGCCTAATTGAGTTTGGTTGAGGTAAGAAAGTAGAAATATATACATTGTTGGCAGACAGACAGAGACAGACAGACAGACAGACAGACAGACAGACAGACAGACAGACAGACAGACAGAGCCATGCCATTATAGGTTCTACAAACAGGGTATAAAATATAAATAAATGACTACGACAACTGAAACTGTAAAACATAATTTTAACAACTGAACCACTGTAACGACCCAACAAGCGAACCACCAAACCATAACGACCCAACAAGCAAACCACCAAACCATAACGACCCAACAAGCGAACCACCAAACCATAACGACCCAACAAGCGAACCACCAAACCATAACGACCCAACAAGCGAACCACCAAACCATAACGACCCAACAAGCGAACCACCAAACTACAACAACCCAACACTTTAACCCTCCAAATTACCCTCATAATTCAAGAGTCATCATCGTCATAAATTCAAAAAACAATTACAATTAAGTAAGTCATTAGAGGCCGTAATAACAACCATTAAGGAGTAGAGAATTAAGAGAGAGAGAGAAAAACGGGATAATGGTTTAGTTCCGGTGTTTGGACTGAAGAACAGGGAGGAGGAGGCGGAGGAGGAGGAAGGGAACTTTTTCTCTCTCGTTCTAAAAATACTGAATGACAGCAGTTTATTATCAGAGCAACAACGGTGAGTCAAGTCGAAGAATATAATAATAATAATAATAATAATAATAATAATAATAATAATAATAATAATAATAATTAGGGGTCACGTGAAGATTAGACATCCCAGTTTATTTCACCTTATAATTATTATCAAACATCCTAATGCTGACCTAACATAACCAAATGTAACCTAACATAAAGTAATCTAATCTAACTTAATTTAACACTAACCTCACCTAACCCCCAGGTAGTGTTAAGGTATTATTTATAACAGGTGAAATAAACCGGGGTGTCGAATTTTTACGTGTTCCATACTAATATCATTACAGACAAACACAGATCACTACTACTACTACTACTACTACTACCAACAACAATAATAATAAAAATATTAATAATAATCCACAACCCCCCCCACACCCCCCCACACACACACCCACACCCACACAGGTCTAATCACTGCAGCCACATCCACCACCCTGGCGTGTTGACGAATCCTAAAATAGACACAACTGCATTTCTGACCTGCGGGTATTACATTCTAGTGAGCCATTGTGGTGGTGGTTATTGAAGTGGTTGTTGTTTTTGTTGTAGTGGTTGTTGATAATGTGATTGTCGTTATTGTTGTAGTTTTTATTGCTGTTCTGGTTATTACCATTGTTGAGATTGTTGTTATTATTACCATTGTTGTGACACGTATTCTGGGGTTGTTGTTGCATCAGAGTGATACTTTCACCTGCATCAACACAGTATTGATGTGGCCTTGACCTCTGACCTCCTGCCCCCCGGGTGACCCGATACTGAATTTCTCAAGACTTTTGTTACGTATGGCGATGATGATGATAATACTATTACTACTTATAATAATAATAACAGTAATAATAATAATAATAATAATAATAATAATAATAATAATAATAATGACTAATAATGACAACAACAATAATAGCATTAGCAATAAAATAATAATACCAACAATACAAAATCATAGTAACAACAACAACAAC